ATTATTATGTTTATTACATAATATAAGACAATTCTCTTTCATCTTTTATCTCATTTCATTCGCATGTTATACGACTTGAATTCATAATCTCTTATTTCCAACAGAAATAAATTACCACTGAATTACCTATGTCGTTGACTATTTATTAAAGTTATTAAAATTATATTTAATTCAAATGATATTTATAAATTTTTAAAATAGATTGTAATAATATTTTAAGGTATTTGTTTATAAATTTACTTTAATTTATTAAATAATAAATATTAATTTTTTATTAATTATTAATTTTTTTAACAATTAAATTAAACAAAATTTTAACGTAATTTAAATAAAATTAACAAATAAATTTCTGGTCCTAACTCCTAACCAAAAACCCCTGCTCTGCAGCTGCTCTTGCCTCTAGTAGCTATTTAATCAAACCAATCGGTCCCTCTCCTTGATAATCTTTTACATGTACTTGGGAAATAGACTTTACTGATCTCTATGTAGTTATTATAGTGTGGTATACTTAGCATGTTTTTTTGTTTTTTTGTTTGGCCGGAGCCATATTTAGCATTTTTTTTTTTGGCCGGCGCCATATTTTTCTAGACAAATTTTTTATTAAATTATCTTTAAAATGTACTCTTATATTAGTTTAATAAATTTTAAAAATTAATTTTTATTAATAACGTACAAAACTTAAACTTAATATTTTACTTATAAAACAACACTTAATTAATTATTGAGAAAATTCAAGCTTTAAAGGTAGCTTCTATTCAAGTTCTAACCGAGAAAAACGCATAATTTTGTTAATCCAACACTTAATTTTTTTTTATAGTTTTTTTTTATTTATTTTTTAAATGAATTATGAAGCACATGCGTCATTGACCCATGTATGCGGACTCAAACGCAAATTTTTGGTCGCAGCTTCTATCATTAGACCAGAAGCCTCTTAGGTGCAAAATTTTAAAAGTTACGCGCAGAAGTAAAAGAAGTCATGTTAATTCAATGACTAATCCTCTTGTGTATGCCAATGAATACGCAGGAGAAGTAAAAAAAAAAAAAAAAAAAAGGAAAAGTCGTCTTAATGCGATTATACAAAGTCCTCTTATGTATGCTAAAGTATTATCCTCTTTCTAATTTGATTTATTTGTTGTACTTTAGACTTATTTGATATAATTAAAGATAACAATAAAAACTTATAAAGTCAAAAAATATCTTTTCCATTTACCTTTCAACACTTTATCATAAGAATCTTTGATAAAAATAAAATTAATTTTCTATCATATATTTAGTCATTTGTCAATTTATATTATAAATTTTTTATTTTTATTTTTTAAATGTTTTAAATAGTTAAGTTAAAGTGAGAATATATATATATATATATATATAGGATATGATTTAGCCCCATGCATTAGTCCCTTTTCCTCTTAATACTAGTTGCATCACTCTAGGTAGTTAGAATGTATTTCTTCAGCAATTCAAGGCCTCTCGCTCGTTAGGAAATTATATCCTAAGCATCGAAGGATTGAGATAGACCAAAGCATTGCAAGAGTTGCTCACTACATTGAAGAGACTCAAAAACCAGACGGTTTCATGGTAAGTGTAATACTCTCATGAGTAGTATGCAACTTGATTAGGTCTACAATTCATGACATGCAATGGCCTTTTTACCCAATAGGTATGGTTGTTGGGGAATTTGCTACTCCTGTGGAACATGGTTTGCGGTGGAAGGGCTGGCTGCCTGTGGTAGAACTTATTGCAACAATCCTGCCATGCGTAAAGCTTGTGAATTTTTATTATCAAAGCAGCTACCAAATGGGGGATGGGGAGGGAGAGAGTTACCTTTCCAGCCAATTAAAACAAGGTATGGTCTTGGAAAACCTTTGCCACAAGATCTCCTAGAGAAGAAAAAAGTAAGATTTGTTGCTTTTAGGTATCGAATAATGAAATCAGAACTACAAAGAGGAACATTATAGTAATATAAAGTAGTCATCTTGCAAAAACTTCTTTGTAAATGAGATATCATGCTTTTCTGGAATAGGTGCATACAAACCTGGAAGGCCGCAGTGCAAACTTGGTTCAAACAACCTGGGCTTTGTTATCACTCATTGATTCAGGACAGGTCAGTATCAAATGGTTTATGAGGTTGCAACCTCTATTTGTCACATGAAAACTGGAAAAACTGATGTCATAATACTGAATGCCATGGCTTATATAGGCTGAAGTAGTTCCGACCCCCGTTCATCGTGGTATAAAGGTTCTAATAAATTTACAAATGGAAGATGGTGACTTCCCTCAACAGGTAATCCAGTAGAGAGCTTGAAGTCATTTTTAATTTCTTTTCCATTTTAAAAGTATTACGTTTATATACACTCTGAGTAATAACTGAAGTTCCCTTCTCTAACAGTCAAAATATATCGGTGATTGTAAACAGTAAATTACAGGAGTGTTTATGAGGAATTGTGCACTAAACTACCCATCTTACCGGAACATAATTCCCATATGGGCGCTTGGAGATTATCGCCGCCATGTTATAGTTGCATAACTCTCTGATTCCTAAGAGAAGGGATGCACCATATATGCAGGAGAATACCAATGTGATGAGAGTAAACTGTCTACAGAGTGTCTCTTTCATCTGCTAATTAAAGAATAAATATGTATCTACATGTCTTTTTCTTCCCTAAACATGTAGGGGCGGTAATGGTTTAGTCCTTACTATATATCTTAATCCAATTTATGTTTCATTTCCATGATACTCAAGGTCAGGTTCTCTTAGTTTTTTGGTGAATAGAAGAGAATTATATTAAAACAGCAATACAGTACATTAATCCCTGGGAAAGGAAATCCCCATCACATTAGCACTAAGATACATTCCAAGGCCCTGAGGGCAACCATCAAAAAATACAAAATCCATCAACGAATGCCTCTTTGTTTTTTTTTGGTTTCCCGTCCGGTATCCGGGCTTCACCCTGACTAATTCGGATCCGACCTGCGTCACGCATCTAGAAATGGTGGGTGAGTCTCCCAGTGAAGGCTGCTGCGTACACAAGGTCTCGAACTCGAAATCTTGCTTAAACTGGAACAAGCCACTTACCGCTTAATCCAACCGCTCGTTGGTACGAATACCTCTTTGTTGCAAATCGGTTAGCACACATGTTGACTTCTCTAAAGGCGTGTCAAAAATGAACTTGATGAATTTAAGCTAACAGCTCTCTATATTCCAAAATCATATTATGAAACAAATGATTATGACTATTATTTTCTGAAAGCAAGTGAAAAACCAACAGAGAACCAACTTCAACAATCAGATTCTAGATGTTAAGATCCCGAGCAGTAATCAAACCATCTCGAGCACCACCCCGAAGTTCTGCCCCAAGGGCAGAGGTAACACCAATCCTCGTAGCAAACCCCGCATTCCATTTCCCTGAATGATCCCGAATCGACCAACCACTAGCAGCTGGACCAGGATTATACAATGCAGACCCATCTGTATGCAACTTAAAATTTAAGTTTTCTACCGATTGCATTTGGAGTTGATATAATCAATTAAAAAGATGTTTCAACTTTCATGCTCTCTACTTTTCTCATTTTATGTCGCCAGGGGTAGAGTAAGACAGAAAGAGATAGCAGGGCTTTTGTGCTACATTGGAAAAGTTTCTCTTGATCAGCAAGGAACACGCATGGACAATTTCTTGAGAAAGGAAAATTAAAGAAAGTGATGGAGTGTGTAGGAATAGCTTGGTAAAGTTGCATAACATAGCCAGTAACACGAATTGCCACTCCTCAAAAATCAAGGATCATTAAAACATTCGCGTTAACACTAAAAATTAGAAGTCACATAATAGTCCCTAAAGAAATTGCAAACAAATTCTACAGAGGCATTAGATCAATAAAACATTCAAGTTAAACTCTCTGACTTAACTTTCACTCTCAAAATGCTATAAACGGGAAAACACCCAATGGATTAAACATGAATATTTGATTCAAGAAAAAAAAAAAGACATATATGCTCTTGTTGACACAGAATGGGCAATACGACCAAACAATAACTAAAGGTCAATGGATAACTTTAGATTACACTCATGGACATTATTTGATGAGCGAGACCTGGATCCTGCTGCAGCAGCTCTCTCAAGTTGTTCTCTACTTCAGCCCTCTGCTTTTCCAAATATTCCTTTGATATCTGTTGAAGGTTCAAGAAGTCAGCCTTTTTCTAACAAGAATGGATTAGGCCTATATAATATAGTTCACGATACAGCCACCAAATACCATTTAATCTTGTGTCCTTTTGCATTATAATACGTAAGTTAGGATACTCTTGCAGAAGATTCATATTAAAAAATTCTGTTACACAGACATAATTATCTTTATAGAGGTACATATCTTTTTCATTTTAGCAGGGACAACAAGCAAGGTTGGAGAATCAGGGGAAGAAAGAGAAGCAAAGCGACAAAGAGAATTAGAAAGTAATGGATAGAAGAAAAATTAAAGATCGTTAAGCATTAGTTATGGGGAGTATGTGTTGCATCATCAGATGTAAATTTGTCTTATGGGATATACAATCAATGGGGAAAAGCATAGGTTTTCAAGAACATTGTGGGCAAGTCTTAATGTGAAGTATTCCTCAAGGAGATTTGTTATAAAGTAAACAAACAAAAATAACCAACGAATAGGATAACTCCCACAAGCATGATATAACTTAAAGGGGAAACTAAAGTTTAAATATGATATAAAAAATGAAATGTAATGACAAGGAGGAGAATATGTACAAATAGCCTTGTACAAGGAGAGAAAAATAAAAAAAGAAGGAATAATACCTGTAATGAGGCAATTGCAGATTCACTATCTGTCAGCTTCTGCTCCTGCTCATTCATTAATAATGACTTGGGCTCTAAAATGAACCTGGGTAGTAGACAAGAACAGATAAAGACACTTCATCAGTCCATGTGATATACACTCCTTGAAAGCAATGAATCATGATTTACTTTCATCTAGGTTATCCAAGACTCACGTTCGTCCTGCAAAAAAATAAAATAACAGAAATTGAACATAATCAATTAACATCCGAGTAAAGACTAAAGACAGCTCCTTCAAAAATAGAAGATCAAATCAAACAGCCTTCTCTTGGTTGCCAACTCTGACTTAGCATTATGGTATGCAAGTTTCTTATCGATGCCAATACACAACTATAAGCCAACAAGACTTCAAGAAGCCAGAGACTCATCACAATACCTATTGATTTGTATGTATTGGTATCATCAGACAACTGGCGTAGCTCCTCCAAGGTTAGGAAAGCACGCTTTTTTTCTCCTTCTTTGTTTCGCACCTGGTTTTGCACCTGAAAGCCATAGAATTCACTCACCTCAGTTGAAAGGTTTAATATACCTCCATAAGTCTTCAGTTACCGGAAAAAGGTATATCAGGTGAGGTAAACAATGGTGAGAAAACCAATATTGACGCTAACATGGTACTCTCATGTGAATAGCATCATCAAGGGGATATGTCAGCAACCATTGTCAAATAGATCAAGGAACTCTTCTGCATTATATCATAGAACATCTGTTTTCGGATAGGAAAATCAAGGGACCTAGCTTTCATCTATCCACACTCAAAATTTTGAGAAGAAAATACCACCAATATGACGAAGGTGAATTTGCCGGCTTAAACTTCAGAAAATTCAAATGCGGCCTTTGGTTTCCCAAAAAAAAAAAAAAAAAAAAGTCTTGAATGATATAATTGACTCGTTAATTTTGAAGATTTACAGCATTTGTGCCACTAAACCTTTTATGCTCAATTAACACGTTTTAGGCTTATCTCAAGGACATCAAAAAATACTGAAGCCGTTGATGATGCATGAGGAGGAATCACAGAAACATAGTTCAGTTGAAAACACAGAAATTCGGATATTTCCAAGTAGCTGCAGACCCATAATAATACTAACCCACATAAAATAAAATAAAATAAAATAAAATAAATCAAATTTTGTCAACTTAGCTAAAGAACAAAAAGATAATTCAAGAATAATTCATAAACTGACCTGCTTCAACTTGCCAGTGAGCTCAATCATGCGACCTTGAATCTCTAGAAATGCCTAATTCCAAACACCCACAAAAGGAAATAAATAAGCAAATAAATTTACAACCCAAGATTACTTTCGGGTCATAGATGACAGATTTTTCATGTCTTTAAAGTTTTTGTATAGCTAGTGATGGATAAAATTCCAAAAAAAGTTTCTCTTTCCCATTTCTTTTACCATGAACTTTCTCAGCAACCAAGCAAAGTCATTATTACGGGAAATACACCAGAAAAGAAAGAAAGAATTTTGGTTCTCACTGTTCTGTTAGCTTCGTCGGCCATTATTAGAGATCGAAAGCGAAGATGATCGATACTGATTGGAAATTGTTTTGTGGTTTAAACCCTAAGATTTGGAAGGAGCTGCTGAAAAAGAAAGGTGTGATTCGGGTCCTGGTTAATAACTGGATCCGAGCCGAAATGGACAAGAAAACTGAATGAGTGCTTTTTCAGTCCTTCAAAACTATTCAAACATGCATTGTGATTATTTAACTCTTATTTGAATCAATCAAGTCCCTTAACTTAAAAAATTGAACTAACTTCCCATGTAAAGTTAGAGCGACCTTTCCACATGTCGGTTAAAAAATGAATGCTATTGACACCTTTTTTTTCTAGCCTTGGCATGCAGGACGGTAATTCTCTAATATTAATTTATTTGTCAAGTTATTAAATTTACAATTATTAACAACACACGAATCAATTACACCTCGAGTATTGAAGAATAATATGCAAATAAACAACTATTGTTAATATTTTTTTATTAAAACATAAAAATTAATGTTTTACAATTTAAAATAATTTAGATTATAAAATATTTTTAAAAAATACTCTTCAAAATAAGATATTACAATTAAATTTTTGAAAAAAATTAAAAGGAGAAATATTTTAAAACTTAAAATTATATTGTTTTATTAAAGTATTATAAAAGAAAACCAAAATCAACTCAATTTCAATTTAAAAATAAATTATATTAGTGTTTTACAATAAAAATGTATTGAAATAATATATTAAAATAATATAATTTTAAAATATTTTTTCCTTTTAATTTTTTTAAAACTCGATAAACAAATATTTTTTCCTCTAAATAATTATAAGAACTCTATTTACATTTTTGCATTTCTATGTTAAAAATTAAAAAAAAAAGAAAGAAAGAAGGGTACCATTCTTTAACCGCTGAGTGTTTATTTTCCTTGGAGGGACCTTTTGCTTTTGGATGTATCTGTGCCTTCCTTCATCATGATAGTTGTTAAGCACCCATTTGACCTAGTTTCAACAACTACTATTAGCTGTTAGTGTTAATTAAATGAATGAGGACATTTGAATAATACATAAACAACAACTATTAACACCTTTCCCAGTTCCCATCAAAAGATATAAAAAAATATATATATATATATCAACAACTAAATAGTTGTTAATTATTTTTTTTTATTTTTTATTTTAAATTACATAATAAAAATTATTATTTTATTATCTTTTGATTTACTATATTCACAAGTTATACAATTTAAATTTAAAAATTTTTATTTTTATCAAAAAATTATTATTAAATTATTTAATTAATTGATAATTAATTATTAATTTTAATTAAATAAATTAAATACATTCAAATATAAACAATACTAATTATAAACTATCATATATTAATTATTAATTATTAACTATATTTAAATAGTAAATTCAAATACATCCATAACCTGTCTCCAACAGCCAAACGGAATCAAATGAACAAATACCAGCAATCACTTAATTTTGTTCTGCCCTCAAACAACACATTGACTTAATTCAGAGTATTAATATAATAATGAAATTTTTTAATCTGTACCATAAATTTTATTAATTACAATATTTGTAATTAATTTTATATAAAATTATATATTAAATTTAATTAAAATAAAATATATAATTTTTTTTTTTTGAACATGCAATATAATATAATATTTATTCTAAAAATTTACAAAAATTTATATAAAGTTAATTACAAATTTTATAATTAATAAAACTTAATATATGCCTCACAAATCCTATAACAAAATAGGTATTTGTTAGAGAATCTCTATTTTACCAACACAAAACAAACACGATAGGACAGAGACGTAGGGGGACAAGGGAAAGCAAAGGGAGAAAGGGGGTCCCGTTTTCCTTGGCGTTTTTGGCGGCTACTCGTCAAAACCAAAACCCATAACCAATCATTTCTTTCTCTCTCTACATGAAACATTCTCTCTCTGTAATCATTCTATCTCCATTCCTCGTCTTCCCTCCTTTATTCCTACTTTCTTCTCCTTCCTTGTGATGGGTATTCGTTGATTTCTCTTTTTTTGGAGAAATCCTTGGAATTCCCGGCTACCCATCTCAGATAAAGCTCTATCCATCTCGGATCCGGACCCAATTTTTCAATACATTAACTTTATCTAGTCTGTTATGATGAAGTAACAAGATTGCTGTTTGGATGCCAAGATGTGTAAGGTAATTGTTGATTAGGAAAGAATGTCAATGAGTATGTAAATTTGGGTTTCGGTTCGGGTTCGGTTGGTGCCGTGGCTTCATGGGGATCTGCTTTAGCGTCGATCCACAGCTATCGGAGCAGCAGAAGAAACATATGTGCCATGTTAACAGCCGTTCAGGTCTTTCCAAAGCTCTGTATAGATTTATTTATTTGATGTTTTCTTTATGCGGGGAAAGCTCATGGCTTTTGTTTAAATTTCTGTTGGGTTTTCTGTCGTTTCTGAGGATTTTGAATATTTTCCGTTTTTTCGGTTCCTTGAAAACCGTTTATGGCAGTCCTGGTATAATGTAGGCATAAAAGTGTGTTGTTTTAAGATGTGTTGAAATTACAGGGAATGGCTAATAAATTGATGAATGCTAAATTTCATTCTTGCCTGTATGTAGAAATTTACATTGAAGGTAAAGGGAGAAGGGTCATAGCCTTTGTCTGTAAATATTTCTTTCTTGTGTACTGTTTCAGGTGGGGAACAAGATGCCCGTACATCTCCATCTCCTGCCAGAATAGATAGGCAAGAGTCACCCAATCCCAAAACTCTAAGCACTACTCCATTAGCAGTAAAGGATGTCAAAGATCTTCGCCAGAATCCTGGATATAGCAATGTTGATAACTTTACATATGAAGAAATGAGGTTGGCAACAAAGCAGTTCCGGCCAGATTATATCCTTGGTGAGGGTGGGTTTGGAGTTGTTTATAAAGGAATCATAGATGAGAATGTGAGGCCTGGTTATAAGTCCACAGCAGTTGCCATTAAGGAGCTTAATCCTGATGGGTTCCAAGGTGACAGAGAATGGCTGGTACTTGCCTTGTCTTACTTTCTTCACAGATATGTGCCAAGAGTTTATTTTCTCAAATTCTCTTAATGGGTTTCTCTCTTTTTCAAATATCTACTTATATGGGTAAATGAATCTTCTATGTTATTCCCTGCCACATTGAACTATCATGAAACTAAAGAAAACGTTGAGTACATGTCAAATTTTGTAGGAGAAAACTGCCTATATTTATGCTGCCTTTCTGTTACATTTTGGATTAACTCCAAGGTCCAAAGCAATGTTATACTCCTGCTTCTCACATTGTTAGTATCCAGCAAGTATGAAATGCATTTAATTCTTTTTTGTGATCATAGCTTCATCTTTAATTTATAAGAGTGCTTGTTTACATATGATGCTACCCATGGACGGAAAGGCAAGAACTATAATTTAGGTGCTGAGTTAATAATAGTTACCTTGGTTCTTGGATGGGTAAGATGATTGGGCATTGAGAAAAAGAAAAAAAATAATGTTTCACTTAATTTACCAGGTATTTTCTGCCTCAGATTTTTAGAGATATATTATAATTAAAAACTTTGAGGTTAGGAGGTGGGTCTTTCTTGTTTTGGTTGTTGATGCATTCATTTCTCCCCAACACTCAGTAATCCTTAAAAACGGAAAGTGAAAAATCTGTAAATAGATGTTCACTTGTCTTCCTTTTCTTTATTATTATTATTATTATTATTATTATTATTATTGGAAGAGTTTTAAGTCAAGAGGTATTGTCTTTTTTGCAGACCGAAGTTATCTTTCTTGGCCAGCTCAGTCATCCAAACCTTGTAAAGCTCATTGGATACTGCTGTGAGGATGAGCATAGACTGTTAGTCTATGAATATCTGGCAAATGGGAGCTTGGAAAAGCACCTTTTCCGAAGTAAGTTAAAAATAAGAAAATATTTATAAAGCATGCTCAATTTCTCATCAGAGAAAGTTATGCCTTCTTTCAAATTATGCATAAAAAGGAAGTTTATTTATCCTTTTTGTTCTTGGCGGCTAGGAGTTGGTTGCACTCTGACATGGTCAAAAAGGATGAAGATTGCCTTACATGCCGCAAGAGGGCTTGCTGTTCTTCATGGTGCAGAAAGATCTATAATATATCGTGACTTCAAAACATCAAACATTTTGCTGGATGAGGTTAGTGGTTTTTTTTTTTTTTTTGGTATTGTCTGGGGCTTATACATTAATCAAGTACTTGACCTTATTTAGGGACTCTTCAATTGGGAAATTCTAGGAACCTGAAGGTGATCTTGTTGTGAAGATAATTTTTATTTTAATATTTAAAACCTTGAATTGTAACATGTTTCAAAATAGCCCCAAAAATACACTAGAGAAAGAGGTTTGCAAATGATACTAACTATAACCACTAGTATTTTCAGTTAAAATGATGCAAAGTCTTTTATGTTTATATATGCAATTGAATTAAGTTCTCTCTCATGGTAATTTGTTCAGTTTCCATTGCTAATAAATGAAAATAACATGTAGGACTTCAATGCTAAGCTCTCAGATTTCGGTCTTGCAAAGGATGGACCAATGGGAGACCAGACCCATGTATCAACACGAGTAATGGGCACATATGGATATGCTGCACCTGAATATGTGATGACTGGTTAGTAATCAATTCTCTATTTTACCTTTTATTTTTTTGGCCAAATTTCTCTCTTCTATGTAGTTCTTTTGTTTTAAGATAATCTGAAGTATTTGTCCTTACCAAATAAGTAGAATCTAGCTTTACACTTGATGGTAGGATCTTCATCCTCAATCATGTTAACTGCAATTAACATTCTGTTAGTTGAAGATTGGAAGTGAAGAAGATTGTTCCAGAAAATCCTGCTGTTGTGGAACTTAGTCATTTGACATGCCCCCTTACGGCTTGTTCTGTTTTCCTTCTTTTGGAAAATGATTTTTTTACAACTAAAAACATGACATAAATCTAACTCATGGGGTTTAGTTGAATAAAAGTATATCATATGAAGGTCAGACATGTGAGTTCCAGGAGGGAGGATTGAATAGAATGAATGACTAAGCCTCCTTGTCCTTGGTATTATTCTTCTCTTCCATTCTTCCGTATGATAGCATTAGGTTGACTTTTAATGAGCGTTGTATGCTGGTACTAGAAGCAATAATTGTTAACCAAATTGCAGTATTGATATGAGCAGGTCATTTAACAGCAAGAAGTGATGTTTATGGTTTTGGGGTGGTGCTACTTGAGATGCTTCTTGGAAGGAGAGCTATGGACAAGAGCAGACCTAGCCGAGAACATAACCTAGTTGAATGGGCTCGTCCACTTTTGAACAACAATAAGAAGGTTCTGAGGATCTTAGACCCTAGAATAGAAGGGCAGTACTCAGGTAGAGCTGCAATGAAGGTGGCCAGTTTGGCATATCAATGTCTTAGCCAAAACCCAAAAGGGAGGCCCCCTATGAACCAGGTGGTTGAATTACTAGAGACATTTCAGACAACTGACGAAAGTCATGAAGAGGCAACACTTCGAGCTGGTGGCAGTGTAACCCTTTATGAAGCTCCAGATAGATCTCCCAACACTTCATCAAAGAAAAAACATACCACTAGAAGTGAAAGTAACAGAGAAAGTAACAGAGATGGAGAGTCTCGTAGGAGGAGACCTGCAGATGGAAGGAGTAAGAGTGAACCCCCAACAGAGTTTGATCAATATGATCCTAACAATTTTCAGTCTGATCAGCAATCTCTACCAACCAGGGCTTGAACTTGTATCAAGAACTGTTAAGCAGATCCGTTGATTTGGTGTCTTGAGATGCAGTGCAACACAGGATCTTTAAAAGCATTGCAGCCATTCAAATGCGCTTCTGTTTACAAGCTTATAAGTGCACCAGCAACCTGCACACAGGACATATTCTCATTTTTGTCTCAAAATCCAGGAGAGATGGTAAACACTAAGCAGCATATTGTATAGTCTGGCATGTATATTTTTTTGAAGGCACATTTATGTTGCACAAATCATAATCAAGTTCACTTTTAGATTTGTTGATTTATGTTTTGGAATGGACTTGCTCTATATATTGATGTTGTCTTTTTACTACAGATGATTCTAAACCTCATTTTCATTTATCTCAAGGTTAAAACTAAGACCTCCAACTGAGGAGAATGTTCCTTTAAAGTCTTCTAAAATAACTCAGTAAATGATACAAAAGCGGGAACTTCTATCAAATTTATTTCCCGTCCGGCCATTCCAAAAGCTCAATAGACTCAAGATGTGACTGGATGGCATGGCAAAATGATTGCTCAATGCAAACGTTGAAATTCTGTAAACGGCATTACATAGGATTGGACATAATGTCATCATAAAAGATGAGGAGACTTAAAAATGAAATTACAAAACATGAGCTGAGAGTTTAGGCTAATAATCATGCCTAACCCTTGTACTGAGACTATGCTCTCTGTTAGGCTTCACTTGTGTGCTATGCTAATCTCTTGCTGCAGCCTTTTGAGCCATGCTTTTTGACCATCCGATGATCAGGAGCATTTTCCTGTAAAAGTGAATTATGCATTTAATTTTGACTAATATTGCTTCAGAAGCAAACGTGAGGGTGTATTAGTAGCGGTTTTTACTCGACAGAATTTATAATGTTAATGCTTTTCAAAGAACCAACAAACTACAAACATTGCCCTTGAAGCTTTTTTGAATCTTAAATTTATTTATGTAAATTTTCATTCTTATTTGTGAATACACCATGAAGGATCATATATAAAATTCTACAATTGATAATTATTTTACTTACCTGCTTCTCATGATCCACAAAAATTAAAATTATCATCCCCACTCTGATGTGTTTCTTCTCAGATATTTTAACTTATTTTTTATCCAGCAAGAAGCAACTATATTATAAAATTGAAAAATAAAGGTATCAAAATCAGATGAATAGAATAATGCAAACGAGTTCCCTACCCCATATTTGGTGTAACTTCATTGCCAGTTGAGTGATTGATCTTCTTTCGGTAGGGTTAGAAAATTCCATGTTCATAGCCTCTTGAATTGCTAATAACAATTCTCTTTTAGCATCTGGGGAGAGAACAAGGTGATTTGGTCCATGGGTTGTGCTCAACTCAACCACCTGATTAGATAATGAATGAATTACACAGATACTATAGCTAGTGTTTTTAAGTTCAAGTGTTCAACTACTATCTCAACAGTATTATAACTCTAATTTCTCCAATGTAGACTGGAAGAACTTGCATATATAAGCTGTGAATACCAAAAATTAAAACAGAATGATAAAGAGAGGTAGGGCAACTTGCCTGCTGCAACCAAGGGATTATAGAGTTCATATATCTCTGTTCAAGTATGTATGATGCCAAAATACTGAGAATATCACAGATGGTCTTGTGGGATAAACTTTCTACAACTGGACCAGTTCTATCAAGAAGCTCAATCAGAACAAGTTCATTACCAGAAGAAAGAGCTTCTGTATATGCAGAGTCTAGGTCCCCTTCACATAAAAAACCTTTCACATTTTGCCACAGGCTATTCATGCTGCCTGCCCTACTTTGTCTACTATTTGTACTTGAAAACAAGACACAAGCAGAGGAGGGGGTAACTTCATTTTTCCTTACATGACCCATGATTTGAATTCCCTGTTCAGAGCTTTTCTGAACATCATTTTCCATAGGATTTCTACTAATCTTTAGAGCATGATTCGTCCACACCTCCTTACTCTGTTTAGCAGAACTGCTTAAGTTGCTCCTACAAAGCACTTTTTCCTCCCAAATATCAGAACTTTTTACTGAAAGTGAAGGCTGTCTGTTACAAATATCCAAGGAAGGCCTCGGAGTTGATGTAGACAGTCTGGGAGAAACACCTTGGCTCTGCTTCATGAGCTTGGAGGTTACCAGATCAGAATACCTTCCACCATGCACAAGGTCTTGAGCTATTCCCTCCACTACATGCTCCAAACTTAACACCTTTGACTGTAGCATTGACAAGCTATCCATTATCCCAGTTGAAAATGCCTGCAAATCAATCCATAATCTAATTAAATAGTATGAAGACATACCCCCATATCTTAAGATCAAAGATTTAGTAGACGCATGTTATCAAACAATCACTACAGGTAAATAATTCTTCTGTGCTTAGTAGCCAGGATCCAGAAACTTCAGAATCATGAATAGTGTGACACCCAACTTAACCAACTGGCTATAGGTTGAGTAGTCAGTGTAGTCCATGGTGTACTTAGGACCAATGTGGGGTTTTCCCACTTAACATGCTCCCCTCCCTCATGTGTGGGCCCACTAGCATGTGATGTGGAATCACAAGCTACTCAAAAGCCAATGTCAACTTTAACTTGGTTACACATACAAGCTGGGTTTGCAACAACCTCCCTTGCATCCCATGCTAAAAATGCATACAACAACCACCCTTAGGTTGGCTCTAATGCCATTTGAGCATTCAACCTAAAACTAATTGACTTATCTATAGGTAGAGTAGTCCACACTGTATTTAAGTCCAAAGGTTTCCCTTTGACTTACCAACATGGGATTTTCCACAAGGATAAGGAGTGCTCAAGGCATGCCCTTGCCCCTCAAAGTCAACAGTTATTTGTGACCAAGTAAGATATATGAATGACTTCATCTTTGCAATCAAATGAGAGCTCAAGCCGTTAGCTTTGGAACATGCAGCATGCAAGAAGCAAAAAGGTATTGAACCAATGGCATGGAAGCAAGTGCATGTAATGACTATATCATCCTAGACGCTAGTGTCATTATGTGGATGAAGAATGGTTTGGAAGTATGCATATTACATACAGCATTGGACTGGAGTTATAAACAAAGACAAAGACCATCATAACGAAAAAACATATTATGGGCTCAGGAATCATATAATATTTACCTGGAGAAGAACCACTAAGTTTGACTGCTTGTTTTCAATCTCCATTAGTTGTTTCCGAACACAAACCATTTCATTTGCCACCTGTGAGCAACATCCATTTGGAACACTAGACTCAGTAACTGTAGAATCAAGACTTCTCCGATCCTGCAATTTTTTAGAGTATAATTCTTCCTCCTCATAAGTAATCTTTTCACATGCAAACCGCTGATTTCTTCCCATTGGCTTCTGAGAACCTCCCTCCCCAAGATGGTCAGGAGAAACAGTAACAATTTTGGCCCTAAAGTTATCAGTCACAAGATTGGAGACAGATGAACACTCTTGTTTGTCATCCATTGGAACGAATTCATAACCAATATCATGTATACTAGTAACAGTTGTCATTCTTTCTAATCTCTTGGTGACAGAACTACCCTCAGATTCTTCATCATGACAATCTGCCAAAGAAACATGGTGGGGTTTGGGAATAGCAATTTCAATATGCCAATCATCTTCTTTGGAATGTTGAGGATCTTCCACATAATTTTGAGATGTATTTCTAACACTTAAAGGTTTCCTTCTTATAGCCGAGTTCATAACAGCTTTCTTTCGTGTAGCATCCTTCCATCCAGAATCGCCATTGCTACTGAGATCACCATAATCACCTGCACAGCAATTTTCTTCAGAAAGTATAGATAACCGACTATAGAATGTATAACAGAGAATTATTGGATTGTAGAATAACCAATATGAATTTTCGCCAAACAAAAAGCATAACCAATTTGAATAGAAAATTAGCTCTTGAACCATATAGTGGTTTATATTAGGAGTATGTATATGCAGGATGAGCCATATAGTGGTTTATATAAGGAGTGTGAATATGCAGGACAGTTGTTTATATTAATATGTGGTTCTGAAGTTCACTAAAAAATCTAAACAAATACTAGAACCAGCTACTAAACCTTTTATGGAAGATCCAGCTTCAGAAGGTTCAGGAGTCTCTGGCCCTGGAAGACTTCTCCAGTACTGTAGAGCATGT